TTCTATATTTTTACTTAATATTTACTTGGCGTTAACGAGACACGCTCGAATGTTTGATTAATCCTTCCGCTATTTATACGTGTAATTGCGACGGTCTGATAACATTCTAGATTTTTTTTGCGAGACACTTTGATGAATTACCGCTTTACTTTTAATTAAATACGTTTCTTGTTTTTTAATAAATAAATTCGAGCAATTAATGCGAAATCGATTTGTAAAATGGCCTCAAAGAGGATTGATATAAAAGAAGGATACACATTGAAGATCAAGAATATCCGTAAAGTAAAGAGGTAGACTACCTGTCGAGCTATTCTTAGAAAACAATGTCGGAAAGACGGTCTTTCAGTTACAGAGAATGCGGCAACCTTTGTTTCTCGCGATTGGATCGATCCTATCGGCTTTAGCTTCTTGTACTTTGAGGCTTTTGAAGACACAGATAAAAAGCAATAATTTTCCGAGTTTTCGTACGGTTCATTGCTCAACGAGGAGAGAGAAAAAAAATTGGTAGGTTGAGACAACGGCGATGGAGGAAGACAAAAGGAAATATGGCACCATCGGTACATTCTTTGACAAGTCAGGTGATGATGAATTATTCAATCGGATAATCACGGTCGTGTCGCGGTTGCGAATCAGTCGCACGGTCGGCTGAATGTGTGAGTGAAATGTCTTTACGTACAAGCAGCTCATGAGAGCAACGCATGAGAGAGGCATTCTCTTATGCTCGGGTCATTAGTATTTCGCACATGCGCCTAATGACCACCGTTCAATGATTACTAATTCGCCATTGACCTTGGCTAATTGCAGAACTTTTATTCTTGTGAAAGCCGAATGTTTAAAACTTTCTTAAAAATTGTGATTTGACACTATCGAGGATTTGGCGCAGTGTAACAAAAATATATACTGCTACCATGTATTTGTAATTTATTGATATTATTCACCAGAAATATTAGGACCTTGAATAAGTTCTCGCTGTTTTTTTGTTAAAAAAAACATTAATTTAAAATATAAGGCTTACAATAACTTTACTCAAAGTATTGTCCATCATTAGAGACCACTTTCTCCCATCTTTCTGGCAGTAATTGAATCCCCCGTCGAAAAAACGATTCATCTTTTGACGCAATCCATGAATCGACCCATTTTTCGGTTTCTTCGAAAGAATGGAAGCGCTGCTCGCTCAAACCATGCGCCATCGACCGAAACAAGTGGTAATCCGAGGGGGCTATGTCCGGTGAATACGGCGGGTGAGGTAGAACTTCCCATTGAAGCGTTTCCAGGTAAGTTTTGACTGGTTTTGCCACATGTGGCCGAGCATTGTCATGTAACAAAATGACTTTTGGATCATTCCTAACGCTTTTAAACGTTTTGAAACTGTTGACGCATCTACTTGCAATGTTTTCCCGAGCTCTACTAGCGTCTGACATGGATCTAGATCAAGCAATGCCTCCAATTCTTCGTCTTCAAACTTTGTCGGTGCTCCAGAACGTTCTTTATCTTCAAGGTCAAAGTCATTATTTTTAAAGCACCTAAACCAGTCTCTGCATGTCGTATTCGACAGAGCATTGTCACCATATGTTTCAACAAGAATTCTGTGTGCTTCAGCTGCAGATTTCTTTTGAATAAAGCAGTGCAATAAAATTCCCCGCAAAAACACTTTATTTGGCACAAAAGTAGACATTTTCGCAATAGGTAATTAAACACGTGGTTGACACTGTGGTAAACTGTATCTACTAGAATTTGAGGTTACATATAGTACTACTTAGCTGATGCGTTTCCGTACGAAATTCCATGCACAGAGTGCCGCTACGCCATCTTTTAAGAAACAGCGAGAACTTATTCAAGGACCTAATATAATTACAAAGAATTACTTTTTTGCATAAAAAATATTGTCAGCAATGCAGTTATATACGTGTTTTTAGAATAAAATAACGATTTTTTCTATTTTATATATATTAACATATACATTTGCTTAGAGTTTTATATATTTGTTTAAAGATGTGTTATCATTTATTAAAGAGAGTGAAATTTATTATTATAAGAGATGTATTAGTATTTTTTATTATCATTACATTTATGTCAAACGGTATAATATTTCTCTCATATTTTAGTAGAATTGAATACACACAATTCTGTTAAATAATAGGAAAATTTTTGTAATGAAATGTTATTAGCACGCAGCTTACACGTGGCGGATCTGACTCTGCAGCATCATTACACTGTTCACAGTTTTATGACACCTTTCGGCACATTACCGCGTAATGTCGTAAACACGCAGCAGGTTCGCGCGCTTGTAAAATGACCAATTGACACGAGGCGGCATAAAACCTTTGCGACGAACAATACCGCGATGATGAGAAGAATAATTTCTTTGGTTGCTTAGAAACCTGATTCTTCTTCCTTTCAGCTTACTTTGTTTCTTTTACATCTGACTGAGAAAGATGAATGCATGCCGAGAGCAATGTTGAATCAAGTGTATTATATCTCTGGTCTAATGAACCATTTATGTCGATTAAGATGACAAAAAATTAATAGTATTGCTAACATTATATATTTATGTGGTTCAAAAAATGAACAATTTTATAGCTAATAAACGCGATAATAAATGCGATCATTAATTTGATGACTTTATGAGATATTTAGCTTTACGAGGGAGAAAGGTAAGTTTTATGTCCCGCTGCGCACTCGCGATATCCTGCTTTTCTACGAAATTAAGAAAGGTTTCGAAAGGATTAAATCAGGCTGGCGCCGCGGAAAACGACTCGATGTAGCCCGTGGCTGTTTGTCCGCGCTTTCCAGTGCTCCCGTATAAGCATTAAACGCCTCTTCGCGGTTTTAACGGACCCTCGTAGCATTACCAAGGTAATGTCGTAAGCGCGGTGTGTTTCTGCGGTCATAAAACAGCCGGTTGGCACGGGACGGGGGGAGGAGAGAGTACGCGCGCTTTCCCTCCGCTGTTCTTTTCGCGCGCGCGATTCTATTCGGGCTCGGCGAGCCGGCCACGTTCGTGTTCTCCAATGTTGGCGAACGCGTGCCGACGGAAGCTGCGACACGGTTTGGCTCTCAGAAGGACAAATAGAAATGGCCCCCGGGGAGGGAGATCGTCCAGATAGAGGGAGAAAACGTGATAACGACGTGCGGGAGTTTGTTGTTCGTCCCTGTGCAATCCCCGCGTATACCCGAAACCCCGCCATCTCGTTTCGGCCACTGGCCACCACCGATACCCGACGCCCTCTTAACAGTTACGTTCTTCACTCAGCTATTTTATGCGAATGCAACCCCGCGTGCTTCTACGGCCGGGCATATCTTGCGGTGCCGCGAGCAAACTGGTTTTCTCTAAGTGCAAGAGTAGATTGTCTATCTGCGACTCTCTCAAGTCGCGTCGGAGTTGCTCTCTCTGGTCAATTTCGAATAATACCTTTGTTCATTAGTTGACGCGGAATTACATCTACGAATAGTTCCGTGTAATAAGGCAGTCTGCCTCTCGTACGCAAATTCTGCGTGCAAAACATTGTTTTAAACTCAACTCGCCAATTGCGAATTCTATCTTTGGCTGCTAAATGAGACAAAGGTTTTGAATAAAAGAATTGCAATGATATTAAACTTCCAGCAAATAATAACGTCTGTTATTTTCACGCTGAAAGATTAAACGAAAATTGAATATTACAAAGAATGGTACGTGACTAGACAACGACGAGAACTAATAAATTGAATCCGTGCACACGTTTACATGCATATCCGGGACAGTTGTATGAGTCTCCGCCGTACCAGCGTCATCTCGTCGTTATTCCCCGTTTATGAATCCTCGCCGCAAACTGTGTATGCACGTCCCTGGATACATCCTGTACAACATGAACCCTACGGCGATGTACTCTGATATGTACGAAGTAAAGCAAACGATAATGTCCGTGTAAGTTATAAATAAACCCCGGTTAGTAATACAGTTATGACGTTTATGGTAATGTACGATCAGATTCCTTCCTGTCAAGCACATGTTTGCGTAATTTTAGTGAACGAATTTATCGAAAGTATCACAACTACTTGCTATCTGATTAAGGATGTTTAGTACCTATTTTTAAAATATTAGGAATTTAACAAAAATTTTACAGATTGTTCTTACATATGTTCGGAGATTTGTGACAAAATCCGGAGTCGATTTACTGAAGCAATCAAAAGTTATAAGGATTTTAATTTGCAACGAATTTACCCGTGACTTTATGGAAAACGCGTAACCGTGTTGATTTAAGTGGCTAAAATGGATAGAAAAAAATTTTTTTTGTTGAAGAAGTTTCTTTTTATACACTTTTTTGGTCACTATTTTTCCTTTTCATCGATAAGGGCCTACTTTTGGCATTGTGGATAAACACAACTAACCTTTATCCGCACGTCAAGCATAATTCAGAAAATTCGAAAATTCTCAGAAAAAAAACAACAGAAATTCAAAAGTACATTTCTGCACTCTACTTATGAATAAATGATAAGATTCTGTGCAATCTTTATTACTCAAACTATATGAGAAGAGCATATATTCATCAAAATCAAATTTCAGCAACTTTTTGCTACGATTGTACGTACAAAACATCCTTAAGGCAACTTTTCACCATTATTACGGCTATTAAACGTTAATAAAAATTGTCGAATGTTTTATGGATAGTTCATTAACGAGCAATGAATGTAAGTTGTATATATAAACTTGTCATATATTATTTTAAATAAATCGAAATATGGTATTAGCTCATGAGCTCATGAGAAAAAGAAAGAAGCGCGCATAACTCGAGAGCGTAGTCGCGTAGGTCCTTCCACGGCGTGAAGAAGCATCGTGACCCTCATTAGTCGCTCGACACCTTCGGCCGACGACGACGATCAGCGCCATGCGGTAAACACGACCCTACATTTCTGACGATTTAAAATAACCACCCTTTCGTCCTGCTTTTACCTTCGTTACTCAGGTAACCTGGTAACTCTCCAAACAGCTTTGATTTTTTATTTTTTTTTTTTATTTTCAGGACCAGCTGGTACGCGACGGCGGTTCGGACGCTTGGCGAACGTGTTTATGCGAAGGCTTGATTGGTCGAATCACGGTGACGGTGCATAATGAATGTAGGGAGAAGAACTTGACGACGCGCGAGCAAGCAAACGCGAGTCGTCTCTTGGCGATGATAATAAATCGTGAAGAGGGCGATGACGCGAATGTTTGAGAAAAGCTCCGGGTCGGAGCACGAATCGGGTTCCTCTACAATGGGCCGCTCCGCTACTGCATCGCGGTAAAGGTCTTCGAGTAATAGATCTTAATTGGATCCTTTGAGAAACATATTTCATAGTCAATTACCTTAATGGTCGGTATGCTTGAGCAGCTACTAATCTTGCAGAATCTTTGAAAGAATCGCTCGCAACGTTTCTACGTATTTGAATTTGTAAAGGATTTAACGGTTTTTAAAGCCATTTGTTATGTAAACGAAGACGTTTTCACGAATAAGTGAGCACGGTAATTTATAGTTGCGTCCTCCATAAATAATTATTTATTCGTCCTGATTCCTGGTTTCAGCAATTCATGATATATCATTCATTATTATTTATTCTTATTAATTTATTTATTGATATCCACATTTAGACTCTTAAAAGAAACTGTTTCCATTTTCGTGGTTTACAATATAATCTTTTGACATTTAAATATTTTTTTTGAGAAACAGAAATCCTTTAAGAAATAATTATGGATTTGTTTGCTGACTTTTCTTATGCGATCAAAAACACATGACTTGGATATCAATTTTTTTTGAGGCGACAATCGATAAAGATGTCGAAGTTTCGAATGTAAAAGCAAATATTTGGAGAATTCGGTCTTTACTCCGTTAAAACAAATTTATAATAACATGAAATTGCATCGTTTGGCAATTTTATTGCCATGTTTACTCGTTAAATTATTATTTTACTCAAGCTTTGCTCTGTGACTTTGTGAATACATTAAGATAACTTTATATTGGTTGCTTGAACAAAATACGAACGAAAGTTGGATTAACACAAAAAAACATACATATCTTGGACATAAAATTTTTTTTTTTTGAGGCGACGATTGATGGAGATGTCGAAGTTTTGAATTTAAAAGCGAATATTTGTATAATTTAAAATACTCACAAATATTATAATTACTTTTTTATGTTTTAACTTGCATAATTTAAGCATTATATTTATTTTTTATCAATTTCTAATATCACATAATCATAGATAAAAGTTTATTCACAAAGTGTGAATAATAAGGATTAGTTTATATTACATATGCAAATATACTGTTGTTAGGCAGATTGTAATTCGGATTCTCGCGCGCGACTAAGCAAGAATTGTCGGCGTATTGATCGACGGGATTTGCGGGACAAATATCGTGTTGGCCCTTTCATCGGATATAATCTAATTTCCTCCTCGCTCCCGTGAGATGTTTATATCTCGTGGAATTATGCGCTTGATTTGGATTTATAATAAAGAGCTTCGGGATCGCAGCGTGGCTCATTCGGAGGCGCGAGGGCGCATAAATTATGGTAATCCTCGGTGTGCCCAGCGGCGGCTCTCCGACGATTTAAATTCAGTTAACGTAACGCGTCTGATTTGATGCTGGCAGGCCACCTGCCGGTAAGTGGCCACTGATTTTAAGAATGAAATTCTTAACGAACCCTCTACGTTCCCTTCGTTGTCCGCTTCACAAGAAATGCCCTTCGGATTCGTGACCCACAAATTAAGTAAAGTATACGTTCCGTGCGGATGGTAGTTTGACGTGTTTTTGCCTATGAAACGTCCCGCGTCGGTCGCAACGTTGCGAGACGTAAATAATTAATTCCCCAAATTGCGTGTGTGTACAGATAATAAAGCTAATGACTACCTATTACTTATATTTAGTTGTTTTGATTATGACAATCGACATGAATACATATTTGGAAATGAATATTTAATTAATTAAGCTAATGATGTAGTTTACATTGCATTATACTACGCTACACTCGTAATACATCGCATGTGAGATATTAAATATAAATAAACATGCATTAATCTAAAAGATTTTATTATTATGATTTTATTATTATGATTGTCTCAATTGTTGCGCTTGAATAATACGCTTTATAATACGGTGGACTGTATAAACAAATATCGTTTTAATTTTTATAATGTATATGTAATGTATATTTTTATAATGTAAATGTAATGTATATTTTATATGTATGTGTATATGTAATATTTGATATTAAAGAAGTTTATGTACTCTTTTATGTAATTCTTGTCTCAACAGTTGCTCTTTATCGGTTGTGTGTAAATTATGTTGTGGAGCAAGTCAGTCGGAAGCTACGAGAAAAATTTTTTCTCGAATTATCTCGTCAAGAATATTTATTAACTAATTATCCAAATTTATTTATTTATATTTCCGCGTAAAGCGGCGCGCACGCTCGTAATCCCGACGGAAAATTACCCAGTAAGTTCTTTCGTATAATCGGAGTTGAAGTTTAGTGCCACTAACTCGCTGGCGTGGCGCTCCAAGGAGCCAATTAATTTAACGAAGTGCGCCATTACCTCTCTCTCGGTGTTGGATAAGCAAAATCAAAGGCCCGAACTGCTCGAGAATTCCGTTCTCTTTCTTTTTTTTTCTAACAGGGCGAGCAGACGGCATCACGCGCCTCTCCTACGAGAGATGCAGCTGAGTAAGGGATTTCTCAGGCATAGCAAACTCGAGCGCGCTCGACACAGATTCTCGTGGCGATCTTTTTATCGATCGTCTAAAGCCGCTCCGCATTCCATCGCGTTCGAGTATCTCCAACTCAGCAGATAGCATTACGCGGCTTATCAGCGTCGGTCTGGCCTGTTCGTTATTGTTTGCCGCCTTCTGCATATCGATTCGGCGGCGCATTCCGATAAGCTGCGTTAGATAAAAATGTTACGACGCGATTATATACCTACATACGTACGTTCTTATCGGGACACGTAAGATGCGATGTACAATAAATTGTAATTTGAATGAACAATGTCTTTGATATCGAACCCGCATCTTGCGGCAACGCAGCTGCCGAGTTTGAAGGGAAGCACGCTAATAGGTCGCATAAGTCGGTAGAAATGAACGCTAATGGGATAAACATTTCCCGAAAAGCATCGTCTTTTGTTTAGCCACTTCTCTACGTCTAGGAATAATATTTACGCAACGACTTGCTCCTGTGCAGCGAGCCTGCTTCTTAAAAAAGAAAAATATTGTCGTCCGAAGTAAAACATAATGCACACATGGGTTACTTTGCCTCCGTTATAATTAGACTTTAATTAGGCTCAATTGTGAGTTATGCATTCGTAACTTTATTTTCTGGAAAGTTTGTTTTTACATTCAAGAAACTTGTCAAAATCTCGCACTCTATATATTTAAATGTCGTAAAAGTTGCGTCTTGCCACTGTATTAATTCTTCAATGCAAAATTTTTATTTTATTCTTGAAGTAAAATTGTATAAGCTGATTAGGAATACGTTTTTTAACTAAATAGTTGATTAGTTTCGAAGAAACGAAATATTATATAGATGTGAAACGCACTAGTAACTGACTTTTACTTGTACGAGCTATCTACACATGAAATATCTTTTAGATTTGTTGCGAATTTTATGTTGAATTCTACAAGCCATTCTACATAGTTGGAAACATCTCATTCGAATGCTGCGAGTGTCATCTTCGCAACTTTTCTGCGAAGTGGTCGGACTTTTTGGTTGTTCGGCTGTTTTGCGAAGGAACGAAATGGAGGTGCTGTTGCTCCGCAGCGTCGGTGGTTACGAGGAACGGAAAAAAGGACGAGAACGGAAAGGGTGGTGGCGCGGCACTTCGAAGGAGATGGTTTACTGCGGCCGACAAAACAATAAGGGCCGCCGAGGGAAGTTCTGTATATTTTAAAATGCCTCGGAACACCACGGAACTTCGGAAATAAGCATCGACGTAACGGCGGTTTTATTGAAGATTTATTCGCAGAAATACGGGGGTGCAATGATGCGCGACCCGTAAACAAGAATCGCCCTCCGTCGAGAGAACGCGTCGAACTCGGCGAAGAATCTTGGCAAATTTTGTCGTTTTATTGCACCTAATTATCATCGGTTATATGGGTTTTCTTCATCTTCTGTGGTTTCGCTCGCGGTTAAAATTCAACGTCTCAATATCGGCAATCCTGTTTACATTCAGGTTCCTTTTGTGCAACGGACAATGATTAATCGACATACTGTTGCACGAAGTGAAACCGACAATTTTAAGAAAAATGGTGTAGAAATTTCGTATCTTTCACAAAAAGATTATAAAAGTATATAAATAATACAAGACTGCACGCGATGCAATAAGTACGATACAAGGTAAAAAAATGTTTTATAGCTTTAATTTCAATGTTCATAATCAACATATATTTTAATTTATTTTTATATCTTTTTCCGTAGAAAAATATTACTTTACAGATAAGCACAAACTAGTTTATCTTTCTGTGGAACAAATTTATGCGTGGTTTAATTCCGAGAAATGTTGTTCTTGTTTTAGCTCTACGACATTGCTTCTAAAACATGCGTCTTCCAACCTTCGTCCAAATGATCGATCGATCGTAGCCCGCAAGCGGTATAACCGTTTTGTCTCTTTGTACCGTAGATATTACCTTGCTACGTATATTAATATGCTGAAATGTATAATGCATGGGAGGACAAAACGACACTGGATACGTTTCACATGCGACGCGCGTTAGCGCTACACGGTGCTAACGAGCAACTCGATCGTAAGTGTTCATTAAAAATGAATCAATCGCCGATAAACGTTAATGAGAATGAGACGCCGGCGTAAATTATCGGCGCCTCGAGCATATAATTTATAATTGAAATACTTTAGTAAATTTCTAATCAGAAGCAGATCTTACCGACCCAAGTTTTTTCATTATACAAATAATAATACAAGAGACATAAAAAGATTAAATATAAACATAAATTAATTAATTCCGTGTAATGCCTTGAAGAGCAATTTCTATATAAATTTCTGATTATTTTACATTGTGAAAGCGACATGGATTATAAATTATACAGCATGAAATTAGAATCGACTTTTTATAAAGAACGGATATCTCTTGATACACTTATAAAAAGCGATTCTGAGAAGAGTTCAGTAGCGTGTAAGAATGATAACGACGATCGCTGAGATGAGTCTGACGATTAACTACAATCGTACCGTATCGAATGCATAAATTGTCCTGCAGAAGTCGTTTCTTCTATGAATAAATTATAGACGAAAGATATCTTGGTTGCGCGAGAGACGTCGAGGCGGCAAAGAAAGACTGAAGGCTAAGATATACACGGACGGAGTGGAGGGGCGGCAGGGGGGGGGGGAGAGATGACAGCGGAAGTGAAAGAGGACTGGGGCTAAAGGGATAAAAGGATGTGAGGGGGCGGAGGAAATATTCCGGACGGGTCTATCGTTATGCCACGGCCCCGCAATCAATATTGCAGGAAAGGTGGACGGCAGGGGCAGAGGTACACGGGAGATTCTGAGCCTGGCATTTACAATGAAACGAAGAAAGGATACTCCGTCTTTCTCCGGCGCCGTTTTTCCCGTCCTCCCCGGCCCCCGCCCCCGCTTGCCCGCCGCCGATTCTCAACGTCGGTTTCTTTTTCCCTCGCGATGCACGCTGCTTGACTCGCCTGTCGTCGAAGTTCGCTTTATACCCTGACGTTCAACAAAGCCTCCCGGCCCCTCCGGGGCTTTATTAAAAATTGAGGATGCAATTCACCTCGCGGGAGGGCCGGCGGGGTCGTCTAAATAAAGAAAACTGGCTGAATGGGCGAGCTCGGTTTTTGCCACGTACGATTCGCCGGTAAACCGTCCACGGGGCCCTCCCCCGAGCCTCTCCGCGCGGTGAGACGAGATCGGCGCGAAAGCACGAATTTACAATACGTGCGATGGAAACGAATTTGCGCCGCGAACGCCTGGTGCATGCATAAAGTATGGGCGAGATCGGACGGACACTTTTCCGATCGCCTGCGAGCGATCGCGAGAATGGAGTGGCACGGTCCGTAAAATGGAGTACGT